AATCCAGAGAGCTAGGTTTGCCAACTCACAGACTTAGAATCGTATACCTTCAAAGTGAGGTTTATGGTGGAGTGACCTTTGGACATTAATTAGCAGTGCTAAAAGAGTTTTGTAACACTTACCAGCGCAGGGCAAGGAGCTCTGGTAGTGTAGTGGTTACTAGTTGGGCTGCCAACCGCAAGGTCAGCAGTTCGAAACTACCAGCGGTTCCACGGGAGAAAGATGAGGTTTTCTGCTTCTGTAAAGATTTACAGCCTCGGAAACCCTGTACAGGGTGGCTATGGGTTGAAACTGACTCCACGGCACTTAACAACAACAACCAGAGAAGGGCGGAGACCAAGGGCCTGTATGTCTGAGAGGATAAGGAACAAAGAGAGTGTTCCTGTGAGCATGGCTGAGAGGAGGCACTCCTGAGCAGAACAACTGTTGCCTGAGCATCGCTGATGCTGACTGAATCTAATAAGCACCATTATCCTGACCATTACAAGAGACTATCAAACCCAGGACAGGAGCAGAGAGTGCCATGAGAGTGCCATGGGAAAGATGATTGGTGTAAGAATTAGTAAAAAAAAAAAAAAAAAAAAAGGGAGTAGAAACATGTCTAACCTCTGCCTCATAGGACCTGACTTTGGACCATGTTGAGTTTGTTTCTTTTTTCACCTTGTGAAATCAGAGGAGGTAAGAGGCTGCCTTTACATGCTTCTTGCAGTTGATAATGGAAAGAATAATCAACTATGTGTGCATTAGAGACTTGGTGTGGTGATGTAGGATAGATAAGCAGTAGACCACTAACTGAAAGGTCGGTGGTTCAAACCCTCCAGCCTATCCACAGAAATTCTATACAGGCTCGCTATAAGTTGGAACTGACTCAGAGACAGTTATCAACCGCAATATATGTGTATTGGTCAAATATTTTAAAGTTTCACCTCAGAAAACTTACCGGAGAAGTTGATAACCAGAGCATTCCTAGGAATGATCATCGTTACAGCCACCAGCATCAGCAACTTCCTCAGGGACAGCAGTAAGGACAGCAACAGCAGATGTTAACCCTTATTTAAGCACTTATCATGTATCAACAACTCTTCTAGCCTTGTACATGTTAAATTCATTTAATCTTCCCAACAAATGCATGAGTTAGGAGCTGCTTTTTCTCCCATTGACATATAGGAAACTGAAGAGTCAGAGAAGTATTTAACTCATTTCTGGTAGCAAAGAGCAGAGTTGGAATGGGAACTCTGGAAATAATGTGTTTATAAACTGTTGTAGAACCAATGATACCATCGTGTCTCTGATTAGGCGAATGTGTCCTTGACAGTAAAGTCAGAAAGACTTTGCTAAAACACCAGCTTTGGCGTATTTTCCCCCTACTGTAAATCCATCTTTGGTTGACTTCCTGTTTCTGAAAGTAGTGGTTTACAATCATCTTTTCTTTGACACACATTGCCAAACATCATTCTCATTACAACCACTTCATTCACTATTTTCTCCCTAATCTGGAAGGCATACATTGATGCATGCATTTAAGGTAACATTATTATAGATATGGCTTCATATTTGATTTTATATTCATAGAAATTAGTACTGGAGCTTAATACCGGGTAACATAAACATTGCTGAGGTGCTGTTGAATAGGCACTGGACTGCTAACCTCAAAGTCAGAGGTTCAAGTCTACCAGTCGCTCCTCAGAAACCCAATGAGTCAGAACTGACTTGACAGCATTTAACAATAGCAACAATAGTCAAATAAGGACTTATTATTCTCAAATTGCAGAAATCTTGAAAACAGCAGAGAAGATGCAGAATATATAAAGAATCTGGGCTTTTTCTAACGTTATGCCACCTTGGCATGTGATTCTGATTCTCAAGCTACCTTCTATTCCTTAAGATCTCACATCTATGGTAAATGTAGGAAGAAGAACATAGGAAAAAGATAGAAGACAAAATTAAGAAAGCATTGGCCAATTGAATTAGTTCCCTTTATTCAGTTTTTCTGAAAGACTCACTCCTTCTACCATTTACATTTCAAAGGACAAATTTATGCCACATGGTCACTCCCACCTAGTAAAGGGTCCATGAAGCTAGTTATTTTAATCTGGGAACATTCTTCTCTCCTAAAAATCATGAGACTGTTAGTAAGAAAGAAGAGGAGGAAGGTTGTCAGGCAGACCTCCACCAGTTAGTCCCATATGTATTATATCATAAGCAAACATTTGTACTTTATTCATTACTGCTAATTCTGTAGCAGAGCCTATCATTAATCACAGCTCAGCAGTGAGACCCAGGCTCCATAACTGAAAACGTCTGGCCTGCTGGTTAAAGTGCAAGTATCTAATCAGTATGTGTAAGAGAGGTTCTTACCAGTGTAGCATCAGTTGACTTTTCTTCTTCCATGTGCCACCTTGCCTAGCCCTATGCTTCTGCCACATGTAACTGTGCTTGGTTATTGAATGCACTGCCAATGTTCATTCCTTTGTGTTTCTGCTTGTGCCTTTTTGTGCGCTTGGCAGATGACCCTTTGTCACCCTAAGGTGGTAAGGTGATACTTTTTCTGCAAGATCCATTCCAAATACAATTACATTTCTGGTCCTTACCTGTCAGTCAGATATATTTTTGGTGCTTTAGATACATCTCTATTTGTTATTTGTTTCCCTGTTTGTTGCTACTGATAAATGCTATGAATCCTTAGAAAACAAGAGTCATAATGTATTTAATTTTTTTTTTCTACCTAATACCTATTGTTATTCCTGGATTATGTCCAAGACATCTGCTTAAGGAAAAACATTACTATTATCTCCAATATATAGAAGGCCTAGAAGGAGCTGAGGTGACTTTTCTTGTCATAGTCATTACATCCATAATGATCTGTGCTACCACTCCTCTGTCAGGTCATCATCTTGTGTTGACTTGCACATTGCTATAATGCTGGAAGCTATGCCCCCAGTATCTCAGATACTGGCAGGTTCATACAGGTGTACAAGTCTCAGTGGAGCTTGGTGACTGAGACATATAGTTCTGGTGATCTACTTCCAACAATTAATCTATGAAAATCATTTGGATCACAGCAGAATATTACATAGTGTTGGAAGGTGAACTCCATGATTTAGAAGACATTGAAAACCTACAACAATTGACTCACTCGTATAGACGATCACAAAGATGGCAAAGGATTGGGCAAAGATTCCTTCTGATGTACGTGGAGTTCCTGTACTGCGAATCTCTGACTCAGGGGAAGATTGATGGCAAGATACATGGAGATCTCTAAGGAACACCAGGCCTTCCTCTAGGGCCAGCACAGAATGAAAATCTCTTCCTGGAGTTAGCCCCCCAAATTTGGACTTCTTGTTGTTAAATGCCATCAAGTTGGTTCCGGCTCATAGCTATTCTGTATAAGGTTTCTGAGGAGTGGCTGCTGGACTTCACTTTAGACTTACAGCTTCTGAATTCTTATGGCCTCCAGTTTATGTTCTCATATAATTTATGACAAGAGAATGTATTTCTGTTACAGCCACACTTGTGATATTTCTGTTATAGATACACTAGATCATTAAGGCACTTCGGAAACACTTTCTTATTACCAGTCCATTGTACTTAGGAGCAATAAGAAATTGGTTGCAGATATGAATGTAGAAGAGTCAGAAAAAAATAGTACAAATTAGGACAAAGCATTAGAGTAGACCTGGTGAATTATTGATAGGATGGCAACCCAACACCCTTGAGACAAATATCACTAATCAATCAAAATACAGTTCCACCTGTATGCAGATAATGACCTCATAATTCAACTCAACACTTCAACACTCCAAATGTTGACTTTCCATCATCAGAGGATGGGAGCCAAGTGTATCTTTCCCTAATCAGTACAATCTCCATAAGTTCTGTTTGGGTCAATGCACTTTCTGTGACTTAGTAGTGAGCCTGTCCTTACTCCTTTTCAGAAGTGAAGAAAGTATTGTGACCCCAAAATTGAGCTTCTAGACACTTCATTCTGTCAAATCTTTTTCAAGTATTGAGTTAAATGTCTTATAATTATAAAGTTACCAGTACATGATTTCTGTATTTGACTCCCTTTCTGACAAATAGTGAGAGGACCATCCTACCCACAAAGTTTATATCAAGGAGGAAGAGAGCCAATAGTTACTGAAGGTTAAGCAATATGCTGTCTTAGAGCTATATCTACTATTTATGTAATAGTTCAGATGAGGTCTGTGTCATTCCCATTTTCTAGATAACAAATGTTGTTGTTGTTAAGTATCATCCAGGCAGATTGATTCATAGTGACCCTCTAGAGGGTGTCTGAGGCTGTAAATTTTTGTGGGAGCAGAAAGTCTCATCTTTCTCCCTCAGAGACAGTTCAAACTGGTGGCCTCGAACTGCTGCACTTGTGTTTCATAGTGCTTTTCTTGACGTACATAGCTACTGTGCCCCCAGATCAGAAATAGACAAAGAGAAATTAAGATCTCACAGATGTACAGACAGTAGATAGGATTTAACCTCAGATCTGTGATATCCAATGTCATACTATTGGACAACACTTTGGAGAGTTGATAGATTTCTTTGGTGATCTTCATGATGTTTGCTTATTGGCCTCTATTAATATTACTAGTACTTTTGCTTTTCATAACGAACTGTAGTTCTAACGTTATCATCTCTTGAGGTTTCAAGTTCATAAAGATGGAGACAGTTGGAAAATTGATTCATATAAATAATACGTATTGTTGTTGTTGTAAAGTGCCATAGAGTGGATTCTGACCCATGGTGACCCTGTATAGGGTTTCCAAGGAGCAGCTGATGAGCTTGAACCACCGACCTTGCAATTCAAATGACTTTGCAGTCTGATGCATTAGGTCACAGCACCACACCAGGATTCCATATGTGTTAGGATCTATCAATCTACTGGGGACTCCATGCCAGCCAGGTGTAATTATGACCCTGTGGGAACTATTTTGATGGAAATGGAGATCATATTTAGATTTAATTTTCCTTTATCTCTTTTTCTGCAGGGCAACGCCCATATCAGGTGATGACTGCCAGAGTTCACCCAGGAGAGAGCAATGGCAGTTGGGTTATGAAAGGTGCTTTGGAGTTCCTGGTCAGCAATGACCCTGTGGCTAGACTCCTGAGAGAAACCTTCATATTCAAGATCATCCCCATGCTCAACCCAGATGGCGTCATCAATGGCAAGTACGTCAAACAGCTGGCCAGATCTAACACACATTTATGTTACCATGGTAACACACCATCCTGTCACTAGAGGGACCTGACTGGAGAAGCTTTGGTACTCTTATAGTATATTATCAGGAATAATTTCTCTTGGGCTCTGTTCTCTGGTACAAATAACAATATAGTATCTATGCACATTGATGATAGTCTCACAATTTCTTTGAATAGAATTTATAGATTCATAGATAATCAATGTCAGAGGAGTCCTTAAAAACAATCGAGTCTAACATTTTCCTCTCAAAAGGAGGAAACTGGGGTCCAGACTAATCAAATAACTTTTGGTATGTCAGTTGTAAAGTCAGAGCTAACATTATCATCTCCTCACAGTAAGACTATTTACTCCACTCAGAGACTCCAATAGGAGCATTTACTGGAGAGAACTCTTCATTCTCAGTCGTGTATTACGGGGTTTTGGATACAGCTGTAATGACGTTCTCAATGAACTACACAGAATGTGACCGAGTGACGCTTGGGGTTGTTCTTCTTCCCACTAAGTCCCTACATACCTTTTTGGAATACCTATGTTGTTGTTCAGTGACGTTGAGTCAGTTCTGACTCAACGCAACACTCTATAGGGTTTCTGAAGAGTGGTTCGTGTATTTGAACTGCCAGCTTTGTGGTTAGCAGTCAAACGGTTATCCTACAGTGCCACACCAGAACTCCAGTGTCTGATAAGATTGTTTGAAAAGAGTCAACATTCTCAGAGTTTTTGAGTTCAGTCCCAGACGGCAAATAAAGACCCTACCCTAACATGGCCAGGGGATGGGGGTTGTAGGATTTGTTGTTGCTGTTATTAAGTGTCGTTGAGTTGGTTCTGTCCCATAATGACCCTATATAGGATTTCTGAGGAGCAGCTGATGAGCTTGAACCACTGACCCTAAAGTCCAAAGAGACTTTGCAGTCCAGCGCATTAACCCCCAGAGCCACACCAGGACTCCATCCGGATTCACAACTTAGGCTTTGTGGACAAAGGACAACCAATTTTATGGAAATAGATCATTTTTCTTACTACAGGAATGGGTATTATACCCTATGATAAGAACAGGATATTTGATAAACATGAACTATTGAAAGAAAATCATTTTGAAAGCTACAAGTCTAAAAGAACATACAATTCAAAAATGATATTGTTGTTGTTGTTAAGTGCCATCGAATCGGTTCTGACTCATAGTGACCCTGTAGAGGGTTTCCAAGGATCAGATGGTTCATTTGAACTGCCAACCTTTTTGCTAACAGTCCAGTGTTGATCCTACAACATGATTCCAGGAGCCACAAATACAAGTTAAAAAAATTGGGAAAATCTGAGGCAGAGTTTAAAAATTATCCACACTCAGGCTGTACAATTTGTTTGAATCTACTTTTAGAAAAGACAAATACATTGTTTTTTGATATAATTTCCTTGCTTTTCAACACACTTTGTCCATCTGTCAATAAGCTTCCATACTCCCTTATTAAAAAATGTTTTAGGCTGAGCTCTGAGGCATGAGTACATCGCTATCGTCACTTCTTCATGAGAGGTGAATCTTCATCCTTGAAGGGCTCCTTTCAGGACACAAAACAGGGAGAAACCCAATGGAACAACATCAGGACTCTAGAGAAGATGCTTCAACACCTCAAAATGAAGTTTTTGCAGAGTATTATCAGTGTGGGCAGAGATTTGTGGGTGTGCATTGTCATGTAAGATCACAATGCCCTTGGATAGCAGTCCTCTGTATTTAATCTGAAATTTAGGTTTCAGATCTTCAGTGAGAGCAGATCACTGTATCAAACACTGATGATTGTCGAACCTTTTTCCTGATAGTGTTCCAATATGGCCCACGAGAAACCCAGAAAACTGTAAGCATCAATTTTCTAGCTTATGGTTTATTTTTGAACTTTTTCTTGGTCCTTTCCATTCTCTGCCATCTACTCTCAGGCATGTAGTAATGAATCCATGTCTTATCACCAGTAACACTTTTTTAAAAGGGACTTTTAGCTTTCTTCCAGTATTGGTCCTTTTTTTTTTTTTTTTTTTTTTCTTCAGATGTCCAAACTCTTCTATGTATGCTCTTCCATGAGTAGTTTTGGTGGCCATCTCCTACAGACTTTTAGAAACCCAAGTCTGTTGTGGATTATTTCATAGACAGAGCCATGGCTGATTTGCTACAGAACCTACTGCCATTTGTTTATTCAACAAAAGACAACATGCTCAATGTTGTCATCAGCTGTGGATATGAATGGGCATTTTATTACAAGCAGAGCACAGTTGATTTTGGATTCACTATCATAGAATAATACTGAAAAGGTAGAATAGGAAAGCTATGAACAAAGAAAGAATACATAAAACTCAGAGAGATAAAATTTAAATTACTCAAAATAAGAAAATGATTTTAAGATAATATAATAATTAATGTCTTTTAAGTGTGAAAAATGAATATTAAACAATTGAGAACAGACTAGCACAAAAAGAAAGCATAAGAAGAAAACTTATAAATTTAAAAATTATAAAGATAATCCATGTAAAAAAGAAACAGCAGAAAATCTAAATGATAAAATATATTGAACTATGCCAAAATGTCCCACGTGTCCATGAGTTTGTTAACCTATGGTGGTTTCCATATTGCTGTCATGCTGGAAGCTATTCTGGTGGTGTTTCTGACATCAGCAGGGTCACGGGTGGTGGAAAGGTTTCCCTGGAACTTCCAGGCTAAGACGGATTGTTGTCATCGTTAAGTGTCCTCAAGGTAGTTGTGACTCATAGCAATGCTGTATGGGATCCTTTCAGAAGCCACTGTTTCTATTGGATCTTTTTTTTTCTGAAGGTATCCATCCAAATGAGGCTAAAACAAATGTAGTAGTCAAAGAACTTCTCTGCAACCATCAACTGATCACAGAGACATGTTTAAACATGTTTTGTTTGGAATAAACCAATGCATGTATGTACTGGAACATAATAGCCATATTATTTTCCTTACCCTTGGTTGTGGGGTGGGGAGGGTGGAAGCAGAGAGAAGTAATGAATCTATGTTTTTGTAACAGGTCTTCCGGGCTTCTTGTGGTTATTGCTAGGTACCATTGAATTGCTACCGACTCATAGCAACTCCATGTACAACAGAATGAAACACTGTCTGGTCCTGCACCAAACTCACAATCATTGCTTCGTGTGAGCCCAGTGCTGCCGCCACTGAACTGATCCATCTTGTTGGAGGTCTTGCACTTTTTCTCTGAGCCTCCACTTTACCAAACATGATATCCTTCTCCAGGAACTGGTCCCTCCATAACTCCTGGCTTAGCACCTCTTGTCAGGTTTTCTTGGTAGAAGTTCTTTGAGGGCAGTGAGTGTGGGAAGAGAGCAGAGTCCCTTGTCTTTGCCTATGATGTTTGGTTGGCCTTCCAACAAAAGTGAAGACTAGGAAGCCAAGTCTATCATTAAGGAATATTCAGCTAGATCTCCAGCAGCAATTAACCTTTTGATGTCTTTACCTGAATATGGTCTTAAAGCAATGTCTTCTTCTGGGAGAAGAGAAAACAGCTGATTTCTTACAATGTGCTCCTTTAGCTAAATGAGTTACACAAGGCATCTGGAGGGACTTGATTTCATTCAACATTCTCTAATCCAAGATAGCTCTTGTCTGAATTTTCCCCTTCCATTCAAACATTATCAGGAGGGACCAGTCCCTGGAGAAGGACACCATGCTTCGTAAAGTGAAGGGGCAGGAAAAAGAGGAAGACCCCAAATGAGATGGATTGGCACAGTGGCAGCAGCAATGGGCTCAAATGTAGCAAAGATTGTGAGGTTGGCACAGAACAGGGCAGTGTTTTGTTCTGTTGAGCATAGGGCCACTATGAGTCAGTACTAACTTGTGGTTGTTATGTGCCGTGGAGTTGGTTCTAACTTATAGTGACCCACAGGGTTTCCAAGGGTGTAAATCTTTATGGAAGCAGAAATCTCATCTTTGTCCCATGGAACAACTGGTAGTTTTGAACTGCTGTCCCTGAGGTTTGCAGCCCGATTCATAACCACTAAGCTACCAGAGCTCCTTACTAACTTGGTAACACCTAATAATAACAACAGTAAAAATTCAAATATTTGGAATCGTGTTGTTGCAGTGTAGGATAATTAGTAGACCGTGAACCACAACACTGTCAGCGCAAACCCTATACGGGGTCACCATGAGTTGAAACCAAGTCCATGGCACTTAGCAACAACAACAGTACTTAAGTATTTGGGGTCTGGTAGAAAATATTCCCTGTGTGAGCTATAATGGAAAGAGCATTGGGTTTGGGCTCTTAACTCCAGTTTAGAATTAGGACTCTCCGTTTCGGCTCAGTTTTCTCTTATGTAGGAGAAGGAAGCTAACCAACTTCTTGTTGAGTTCCCTAGGAAGAAGTGTCATAAGCCTGAGGCAATATTTATTCTCAGAGATAAGTATTATAGTTCCATTTCAAACGCCCACTTCTCCAAATCAGGACTTTGATCCACGTCTTTGCCTTGGAGGCTAATAAGGATGCAGCTCTTGACTGTCCTCCTGGCCTGGACATTCCTTATTTCCAGCTCACAGCTGGTTGCTCTGTGCTCCCGAATGACAGGCTAACTTCTTCTCAGTGACACAACCATTCATCATCATTATCATTATTTATTATGACTAAAATTGCCTTCTTAATTTATATAGCATTCATTGTGGGGCTCACTATGATCATTCAAACCATTTTGCTTGAAAGAGACTCAAAAATTACAGTGGTATTTTACTGATGGGAAAATCATACATATTATCAAAAGACTTGACAGTACCATCAGTACATACTATTTCACAAAAGGAGCTTAAAATTTTAAGAGTTCTAAGAACGTTCCTGATAAGTTATTTATCGAACTTCTATTTCAGCTCCTTCTTTAATAGGTGTTTCATTTTAAAGCATATCCATTCCATTTGGCCTAATTTGGTGCTTTTATTTGATTGTACTTTTATCTTTGTCCTGTAGGC